TTGCTTTGTCAGAAGATGATGTCCAGCCCTGTGACTGCTTCAGTAATCAGTGGTAGCTGATGCATGGAGCACATTAGCGTCATCTCCAGAGAGAGCCTCTTTTCTTCCCCATGAGTCACAGATAAGATGCTACCATGACAGCAGAAGCCTGGGCAAGTGAAACATATGCAATACTGGAGTGGCAGGAAAGCTCTAGTGACTTTGATTTGAACCTTATGGACAAACCAGAGAGAGCAGAGTAATCTTAGCACTGCTTCTTACAGTTGTCACTGGGAAAAAACAGTGCCCAAAGGTTGGATGGCAGCAGAGAGGTAGAGAAAGCAGGAAGAAAAGAAGTGGAAATTAAAACAAACTCCTCTGTACCTTGCACAGATAGAAGGAAATTTCTCTGTAAAGTTCCCATCATCACAAAAACCTCTTTTGCTATGTACAGAGGCAATTTACCTTTGAGGAGGAGAGGAAATACAGCAGAGGAGGGATAAAGCAAGATAAACATCAAGTGTGGATCAAAGAAAGGAAAAAAGGAATAAAAAAAACATGTAAAAAAAAGTGGAAAGGCACTGATGGAAACTGGGTGAGAGACAAGGAGGAACTGTAAACTCTCAGATAAACACTTTATTGCATCTGCACATAAAATTTAAGCACTTTAAACACAGGGGTGACTGGTAAGTAACTCCCTTTACAAAGAGCAGATTTGTGGCTACCTTCACAAGAATCAACAATGCCCAGTTTTTATCACCAGCAGATGCGCTGCAGTTATCAGGTGCAGCTAAAGTGACAATATTTGGTCAATGAGTTCTGAGGTCACCAGTAATGCCCAACAGTGGAACAAAAACACAGAGCATATGGCATTTCATGTGCTGAAACTGTCAGACTCATAATTAACTGATTAGAGTACATATGGTGCTCACAGACAGTGTAAATCTCTCAATGTAACAAATGCTGGAGACCATTGAAGGTGTCAGCATGCATCTTCCTTGCAAATCTCTCTCCATTAAAGTTTCATATGGAGGCAAGTGTGTTGTAATAAAATCGCTATTAATGGAGTTATATTTATGATGATTGTTCTTTTGTGCAGCTGGATTTAACTTTTCAAACACTAAACTCTGCATCAGAACTCTTCTGCAGTAGCTGCTGCCTGCAGAGATGCTTCTTGCTTTGTCATGTTTACCTTGAAATCAGAAGTTCTGGGAGCTAAGATAGTAAGAGTTAACCAAGATTGGCAAGAAAACTGTTCATATCACCAGCATCAAAACAGAAAATTCCATGGCAAGGTATAAATGCAGCTACAATTCTGTCTGAGTATTTATAGGAGGCTGGCCAGGGACAAACTCATTCCCTCTTCAGTTCCAAAAGACACTTTCAAGAAGATGGTGAGTGACACTTCATTAACCACGTGAAATAGGCTGATACAGCCAGCTTGCTCTTCCAGCCACCATGTCAGGTGGCATTTTAGTTTGCACCTCTCCTGTTTTACATTCAACACTATGTGAGGTGCTTTCTTGAACATCTCCAGCCAGATCAGCCCATGGATCAGGGGCTGGCCTGGGGGCAGGCAGCTCTGGGGAGGATAAAGCAATCATTCTGTGTGCCCGATCAGACTAGCTGTTTGTATGTCCATGCATTAGAAATCCAGCTTTTCTCATCAGTCATCAATGAAGGGGATTTTAAAAATTCCCCATCAGCCTTTCTTTGCCTTCCAGTCCTCTGCCTTATCAGGCTCTGACAGGACCAGTTCTCATGCAGCACCATGGCACCTCCAAAGTGACCTGGGATGAAAGCATTCTCCTGTATTTCAGTTTCTGGGAAGGTACCTGTAATCCAGGCAGTGCCTGTGCAGCTCTCCTGCCCAGTGAGGGCTGGGGAAGGAGGGAGTAAGGCATGACCCAGCGTATCACCAAAAATCCATCCTCCCAGCACACATTAATACTCACGCACAGCCCTCCAGGGTTTACACACACCTCTCTCATTCCTTGTGTTCTTCTAAACAGCTTCCCACCTCCACTTATACATCAAGCAAAAGACTTACCAGAGACCTCATCTCCCTAGTGAGTTAAAAGCTGTTGCCTCAGCCCAAGACCTTCCTAATCCTACATGGCTTCCTCCTCTCTCCTACTGTGTTATCACTGTCACTCTGTCTTCACCAGAGAGCTTCGTGCCTCACACAGTGCTGCTGGAATAGATGGAACAATCTCCATTTTAAGAATAAGGAAAAATCCCTGTTAAGAACATCACTTGATTCTCGTCTATGGTTTGTTCAGAGGTGAGGCTGCTGGTTAACAGATTAGGGCAGCCAGAAAAAACCAAAAGGTATCAAAGAGCTCTCTGGTAGGGAGCACAGAAGGAGATTTTGGTAAATTAAGTACTCTGTAGAAAAAAAAGAAAAAGAGAAAACCAGCTGTGATAACTCAGGGAGGAGAGACAAGGTGCACGGTGTGAATTTTAAGGTTTATGACCAAAACTGGAAGGCAGAAGCTACAAAATATAATGCAATAAAATGCATTTGCCTTAGGGGTTTCAAGGGCTTTTTCAACTCAAGATCCTTCTGCACCATAGCAATACCTGCAGCCTGCCCCGTGGAGGTGCAGCGCACAGGGACTGCGCAAGTGCTGCTCCTATACACAATGTCCCAGTGGTGGTAAGTCCAGCAGCACCCCTCTGTGGGCATAACTGGGTACCTGCAGTGGTATATCCCCTGGAAACTAGCGATTTTAACTGTTTTCCACTTCAACCAATTTAGCCTAGCAAAAAGCATCAGCCAGGCCTTCTCAGCTCAGATTCATCAGTCTCTCTGCAGCCACCCCAAACCTCACCTAGATCTTATGTGAATAGCTCTGCATATTGTTGCTTTGCTGCCACATGCAGATGCTCCCAGATGCGCTCCTCTCATTATTCCATGCTACCCTCCAAGCTGATTGTGTGCTGCCCCCGCAAACTCATCCACACCACGGGCTCTCAAAACCTTTCTGTCATACTGACTTATGTTGAAGTTCCTTTCCTCTAAACCACCCCTCCCACACCTCATAAACAACAGAGGCTCCAAGGTGCCTCATTCTTGTTGTCTCTTCTGCTTGTGAGTCATGCAGGTGTCAACACTTCTGAAGTCTGTACAGAGGCTCAGCAGAGCTGGGAGGGTGCAGAGCATTATGTGAGAAGTTATTAATAGCTGCTATCGACCAGTTCTTTGATCTATAGGCAGCTGATTACAGCTGCTGCTCCTGACAATGAGGCACCAGGAGTCCTGCCTGCACCTCTGTTTCCCTTTCCAGTATCCAGATTTTCTACTAGAACAAAAAACTTTCTTCCAGGATTTCAAAATAGCTGGGATTCAGCAGTCAACACTGCAGTCAGAAAGCCAAACACAATCAAGTGAAGCATAACATTTTACTTTGCAAGGAGAATATCAGATCTCTGAATCCCGCTTCTAGCAGTCTTTGAAAGGCTGAAGGGTTGACATCACGCACAACAAGCCTCCAGAGAACACAGCTCCTTTCTGAAACTTTCCATGTAGCCTGTAATCAATATCCATGAAAAAAAAAAAAACCTTGGAATTTGTACCCTTGGTTCCCACACTCTTCCAAGATTTCACCTGAAGAAGGAAAGGTAATTCACTATTGCCCAAAGACACCATGCACATCTGACCTGCAAAAAAATCAGGAGATCTCCCTCCAGCAATGCAGAGCCAACGTTGGAAACAACTACGAAAACAGGATGAAATAATCACCTTCACTTTATGTCAGCACCACCTAATCCTGCTCTGTCTGCTGGTAAGCAGCGTGGTGATCAAAAGGCAACAGAGAAACATTCTGAGACAGACAAATTCAGGCAAATTCCCATTTTATCTGATGTTACCAGCTAATCTCTATTAACTTGTCCAAAACTCTCCAGCATTCCTTTTCTGAGAAACAGGGATGAAGTGGATCTACACTATGCTACTGATGTACACAATACCACACTGCTCTGCTTGCTAAGGCTTTGAAGGTCATTAGAGCCAGTACTGCCTGACTTAAATCCCCACCTATCAATACAAGAAAAGAGCCTTTTTAAGGATACCAGAAGCAACTGGGTTTTGTGCACAGTGGGACAACGCACTTTATGGCTTGAACATGAACCTGAAGAGCATCAATTCCTGTGAGTTTTACTCCATTTGAATTATGGCATCTATAAATTTTTATGATGATGGAGCTAGACATGAAGGAAGGAAAACTCACATACTTAGGATTATTGCAAAGCCTATGTAATCAAGCTGCCAAGATTTAAGATTACAGACATATTCTAAACATTTCAACTCATGACCATAAAGCCCATTCCACTATGACAAAGCACAACAGAGAAGTATTTGGCAAATGCATGTTAGCATTTACCTCACCACAGTCACATTTCAGATCACGTATTTCCAAAAGAGAACTAAAAATAATGGAAGAATACCTTCAAGCAGAACTTCTATCTTTGGAAAGAATGTTTTTTCCTAAACAAAACCTAGTTTAAAGTACTTAATAATTAGTGGTATTTTGGTGGTATCAGGCCCAATGCCAAGAAGTGAAGAATTAACAGCAGACACACACACTTCCCTTCTTCAACCCTTAAAGCTCTTGCAAACACGCAATCACTCACACTGTGTACAGAAGAACCTCACTACACGTGTGATACAGTGAATTACTTAGAGTAGAGCACAGAAAAGACACCACACCTCCTACACTGCATTACTCCTTCCCCTTACATACAACCCTTTAACTCACAGGGACTAGCTGGCACTCTAGCCATGCAGTACAGCTACGCTTAGCACAAAGCACACTCATCACACCAAAGATGGTTATTCTTGGCTTGGGCCAGCTTCAGGTGCAGAATAGTAACTTGTGGCTCTTACTGATCCTGGGATTTTGAAACCTGAATTTTGCAAATCTGTCTTCCGCGAGAGCAGATCACCTCACCAGGCAATCCAGTCTTACAGGTCTCAATTCCTTCACCCCTGGGTTTAGAGCATGATGCTTCTTTATTACCTCCAGCTCAGTGTTATGAGCATGCAGCTTCTGCACCATCTCCTCAGCCTCACGCATGCGCCGGTTCAGCTGGGGTGAGTGCTCTGAAGGGGTCAGCTCGCTGTCATACGACTCCAGAATTGCTCGCATCCCATCCCGCTCCTGTCAGGAAGAACAGCAAACACCTTTAGGGATACAGCCCCTGACCCACTCCAAGGAGAGAGTTCCCAAATCACCATTCTACTTCTTTGCCCATTATTCTTTTAAGGACAAAACCCTGATGGAGAGACACTCACCATCTTCATAGCGGCATCAAGACCCAGATGAATACACAGTTCTAACAGAACAAATGTTGCTGCTCTGAACACTGAAGAATTAGACTGTGTATATAAAACCACATACCCCTTGCAGGAAAGCAACATGCACACATTCTAACAAGCAGATGGCAACTGAAAACAGAGCCTGCCTGCTTTTTGGAGACATTATTCTAATTCAGTGTGGCTGAATGGGTTTCTTCAGCAAAATATTTAGTGTAGTGCTTGATATTTTTCCTGCCAAAGAGTTCCAGCAATGAACTAAAGGAATTGTCACAACAGAAATGAAACAGATTTGACAATGAACAAAGTGGCTGAGAGCAAATATCCTCTACATGGTATGTGAGTTATCACTCATTAAACATGGCAACACTCAGTGTTTGCAATAAATACCTTTTCAGAGGTTAATAAACTCACAAACAATGTGTTTGGTTCACTAACCAAGCAGGTGCAGAGAAAGACAAAGAGAAGGAACCCGCTCCCCTTTCAGGTATAAAGCTTGGGCTGAAAGCTAAAGGCAAAACTTCTTGTGTGGACTCTTGCTTGAGGTATTTCCTAATGCATTCCCAACTTCAGACAGCACCTAACACCCACCTCTAAGGCACTGATGGAGAAGAAGAATGGGGACAAAAGGCTGAAAACTGCCAGTAGTCAGGTGTGTTTTAAGGAGATGTTATGGTTTAAACCACGACAGGAGATTACTCTTTACAGTGCAGTATGCATACAGGGATCAGCCAGCTGATGAGGTGCTTTAACCGCACAAAGAACCTTCATGTTTGTAAGGCTACAGAATAGGGTCAAAGTTGCTGCTGATGATGCTTTCTAGCTTGTCCTGCTGCAGGAATGCACAAGTGCTCTGGACAAACCAGGTCTCACGTGTGAATTCTGCCATCACAAACATCTAAAACATAATTAGACGATCACCCAGCTTTATAGCTGTGCAGTTTACATCCAGACTAGGCACCACCACTGCACTGGACCTGGAGCACTTCCTAAACCCAGGCAGATTGCATTGAAATGCTTTGCTGGGATCCTCCTCTCTGGGGGATTTCAGGAATTGCCAGGGTAGACAAAAAGATCCTTTTTCCCCAATCCCAAATGAAAAAGGCTGTATTGCAGACAGCAGAGGTGATGCCCACTGCTCAGCTAAGCAAGCCTGTATACAAAGATTATCTCCTCCTTCAAAATCTAAAGGTCAAAGACTGAACACGGATAGCAAGTGTACAGGTGGGGAAGGGAAGGAGCAGGCAAATTCAAGGTGTGAAAATAATACTGAGGGCACCGCCAGAGGTACAGCATGTGTTCAGAGCATGTCATGGATTGAAAGGTCAGCAGGTAAAAGGACACCAAGACCAAAGGACAGCCTGAGGCTACAGGAACCAAGTTAATAAAATAATAAAACCAGGTTTTAACATAAATAGTACTGGAAGCTATAACAAGCTCCTTGCTCGGGGCTGACTGAGGAGAAACATTTTTCCAACGAAAGAACAGTTTTGACATAGTTTGGAAAAAATTATTCACCTGACAGACATATGAAAAGACATAATTCCACGTTAACTGCAGAATTAAACACAAACCCAGCCACACCACACCTGGCTTGTAATGAAAGTCAGAAGAATAGGCTTGCTCCATCCTCCCTCCCTTTCGCATCACCCCATCTGCCCAGTGCACTTTCCATAAGGCAAGCTGCTTTTGCTAAGGAGATGACTTTCACTCCCCCTTTATTGCAGAATCTTATCACACATGAGATGAGAATGTAATGACAGCCTTTACTTAAGGTATTTGTTTGATCACAGACTAGTTTGAGTTAGAAGGGACCTTGAAGCTCATAGTCCCCTTGAAGTTCTAGCCCCCTGCCATAGGCAGGGACACCTTCCACTAGCCCAGGTTGCTCCAAGCCCCATTCAACCTGGCCTTGATATCCTTGCAATTAGATCTGCAATTACAGCATCCTCTCTTTCTCTGTACCCCGAGCGCTCCTCTAGCCTCATTTTCCACTCAGCATCTTTCATCAGTGTGATCATTTAACACTGCAATGTTCTCTCCATTACAGCAGGGCAGTCCCAAAATCCTTAGCATGTTTTCAAAAGCAAACAGGACCCCTGGCAATTCCCATCACACTTGGCTTCCAATTAACTGGTGAACATTAGGTCATTCGAATCATTCCCAGCAAGGTCCTAGCAGTCGCCTGAGCTGTTCAGCTGCAAGGAGGACAAACTTCAGCTTTCGTGTTAGGATGGGAAAATTGCATGGGAGCAGGACATCCCTCCAGGCTGGCTTTGCCCTAAAATCAGCTACAGATCTCGTTCTTCAAAGCCTTTCTCTTAAAGAAAGAGTAAACTTCTCAAGACAAAGCATGTGTGGTAAGCACAGCACAAGCTGCATTGGAAGGTGCTGAAAGAAAGGGTGATACAATTAAACACTCGATCCTGGAGTTCAGTTCTCCTCTTTAATTATTTCTAAATATTAACACTGTAATGAAATCAATTCTCAGCTTTCAACAAGTGGTCCCCAGCTCCCTTTTTTAAATGTCTCCCTATCAAGAGCTCTGACTGAAAGCTTTTCCCTCCCTCCTAAAGATCTTGTCAGTTTGGCAGGGAACAGAAGTTCTTGTTGAGAAGTCCTCTGCCTAAAAAGATTCTCTAAAATGCAATCCTAATTTAGTAATTGCTGCAGTATCTCCTCATCCCCAATGCAACATTCCCCAAGCTCCATCAAAAACTTTGCAAGGGACTTTCAGAAGTCCTTTCTAACCTTTTCCCAACACCTCTGCTTTCCTGCTTTCCAGGAGAGCAGTTATGAGAATTAGTGAAAAGCAGTTTCTCTGGGAAATTCTCTTCCCCAAATTTACCCAGCACTGGGTATCTCTGCTAACTCTCCATGGACCTTAGACTGGCACACTTCCAGGTGCTCTCTACCTTGACCAGTTTCAAATCAACACCAGAAGAGAGTTGCAGCTTGCTCTAAACATGCCCTAAAACCAGAATAATTGGATTTGATGTTCATTATAACCCTAGGAAATTAATGCCCTGCAGCACTGGTGCTGCAGCCTGCAGCTGTGTTTGAGGAGATCTAACTTTGAAAAAGAGGGAAGAGAGGGATTTCTTCAAAGGCTGAAGTTTCCCTTCCTTCTGTCAGCAACAGCCCATTCACCAAACAAATCTGCCTCCTACTACTGCACAAGTAACTAAAAAGAAAACATGTTTTATGTTCTTAACCACAAACTAGAGTTAATCCCATGGAAATCTGCTATGAGAAAGTATAGGAAGGCACCTCTGCAAAATGACAGCCCTAAAATAAATCTTCTCTCTGGTCTTTCCACCAGCTCCTCTATTCCCTCTATGTAAAGCCAAAATTCAGCCTGGTCAGCGAGCAGCTTGAGGCTAAAGGCAAGTCTTTCCCAGCACTCACAAACCAAAGGGCCACCAGAGGGTTTAGAAACAGCTGGGCTCCTCCAGGATTTTGGGGTTCATATTAGGGAAAGACCTGAGAACGGTTCACATCAGCACCATCAACATCCTACCAACACCCTCCATGTCACTGAAGCAGGGCTACTGCTCACCTCCCAGGGCAGCTGCAGCTTCAAGTATCAGCACACTGAGGACTCTCACCTGTGCGCTCGAAGCAACTGAACAGTAAAAACATAGCCAAAAGAATTTACAAAGCCATCTGACCTTCTATGCATACATACAAACACAGTGCCTATTCCTGTTGGTGCTCCTTACCCCTCCTCAAACATCCATCCACACCATTCACCACAGACTTCCTAATTAGTTGAAGCAAAGAAAAATCAATAAGAAAGAAATTAAAGTTACAAATCTAACTGAAGTCAGTCACACAGCCAGGGAACATTTGCTCCTGGGGTAAAGTTTATCTAGTGTCATAATTTTATTGAAATCCTATATCTTCCTATTGACTTTTATGGTTTCAAGCTGGATGCCAGAGTTATCATTATTAGAGTCTCGGTGTTGCTTGCTGGCCTGAGGTTTGGGGTTTGTGGGTTGTTCTTTTTCTTTTCATAAACAAGCTGTAATTGTCTGGTTTATTGATCAATAAATCTTTCAACTGCCTCTCTTCACTCGCTTCTGTTCTGGTGAGTCTCCTGCACCTTCTCTGAAAGAAAACATAGGGCTGTTTTTTAAAGAACATATTGTTTTGTCATTAGCCATGACAGAGCAGAAATTGTGCTGGTCGGTTCCAATAATGGCTTTTTAATGACAGATTCTAGTCACAGATAATCTGCTTTATTTCCACACAAGTGAACTTCAACTATTAATCCACAACCCAAATGCACAGCTCACTTGCTCTCTTGCTTCTGCTTGGGTTAGCGCCTGGCAGAGGAGACAGACTTTGTAAAGTGGAATCATAACGCTATTTCCCACTCAGTGCTTTTTTTGATAACACAGAAATATTCCTGTCCCTAGCACTAGGTGAGCTTTTTGTTTAATTAATGATAATTTCTGGAGAATGTTAATAGACTGCTTCATTAGAGGAAATCAGTGGCAAGATTCTCCCTCCTCTTCCTCCCCAGACTCCTAACTCCAAATTAGTCATAACAAGAGAAAGTTTTGAGACTGAGGAAAGATATGGAGCTTCAGCATTAAAGAGATGCTATTTGCAATCAGGTACAATTTAGTCAAATATTCTTCATAAGAACACAAATAAAAGAGACGGGTGACTGTGTAACAGAGTTCTCTGCTTTCTGGCTTGAAGCAATACAAATACATACATAGAAAAAGGGAGATGGTAACTGAGGCTTGAGCAGATGTTTAACACAAACAGAATTAGCAGTGTGAGGTGTGGCAACATAAGCCAAAATATGGCCAGAAATAAAAATTAACTATACTA